TTATTGACAGGATCGATCCTAGTCGCCACCTGGCGTCAGCAAAGTAAAAAGAGAGGAAGAATAGAGTGGGAAAAACTTGAAAAATTCAAGTTTTAAAAAGTTTTATAGAAAGGTCAACTTCTACCGATTTTTTCTAGGGAATAGTTCCTATTAGAAATTTTCTACTGAAAAAACACGCAGTGAAGCCGTGAAATTCATCAATGAAATCGAAAAAAAAACTGATGAAATTTCTAATACAAATACATTATAAATCCAATAGAATGACCCAGGGCATTCGCTCGGTTTTTCTATAAAGTCTTTGGATGTTACTTTCGACGTGAGAGGTTTTTTTCTCATTGGAAAACTTTGTGAGGCCTACGAAAAATCTTAATTTACAAAACGAATTTAGTGAGAAATAAAATTACAAACGAAATTAATTTTTTTGAATAAATTCAAAACACGACACTATTGAGAAATTCCGCAGTTCATCTGCGCGTTGTTTTGGCTAAAAATATTCAGGCGAACACATTTTATAGAAAAAATCAATAGAGTTCGATTTTTCTATAAAACTTATTCTCCTGAGATACTTTGTATAAAAATTGCGCGGTTTAAATTTTCTAATTTTTTTGGTTCAATTCTTTCAATGGACAGAGAAGAAAACTAGAGTAGGAAAACTTGAAAAATTTATGTCGAGGAAATTCTGTTGGAAATATTCCAATAAAATAAAGCGTATAAAAAGATCCAATTCTGCTGATTTTTACAGTCGAATATTTTCGGTTGAAAAAATGCGGTAAAGCTGCAGAATGCTCCAATCGAACCGGCCAGAAAGTAATAGAATTTAGAATTGAAGTTCAATAGACATCGATTAAAGTACTCAATCGAATTCCCTGGGTTTTTTAATGAAATTTTTTTGTGTGGAGTCCGCGGAGAATCCTCACACGCCCACAGTGAGAAATTTCCTTCCACTTCTTTGATTGACTCTCCCGTTACCTCCATTACCTCTCCTATTTCCTCCATTATCTCTTCCGTTTGCTCCACCAACTCTCCCACCTCTCCCATTCCCACCGTTTCCCTGTCCGCCACCTCGATTTTCTCCCCTGTCTTCCTATTCCATCAGCCTGTCCATCTGGCCTTCCATCTCGGTGACCCTCTCTGCCTCGTCGATTTTGTTCATTCAGTCTTCGTAATAACTCCGCCTGCTCTTGGAGATTGACGAGGATCTTAAGATAGAGATCATCCCCCTCACCTGGGCCCTGCTGGGCTGACTGTTGTTGATTCTGCCGTTGTTGGTTCTGCTGTTATTGATTCTGCTGTTATTGATTCTGCTGTTGTTGGTTCTGCTGTTGTTGGTTCTGCTATTGTTGGTTCTTCTGTTGATGGTTCTGCTGTTGTTTATCCTGCTGTTGTTGATTCTGCTGTTGTTGGTTCTGCTGTTGGTCCTGCTGTTGTCGGTTCTGCTATTGTTGGTTCTGCTGTTGATGATTCTGCTGTTGATGGTTCTGCTGTTGCTGGTTCTGCTGTTGCTGGTCCTGATCAGGCTCTATTGGTGATGGTGGGGGTGGTGAAGTCGTGGGAGCTGACTTCCACATGCTGTTGACAATATATTCATCATGAAGAATATTGTAAATTTTCACAAAAGAAAATTCTCTATAAATTATATATCTTTTGATATTTTTTCTCAAAATTACTCATTATCGAGATGATTGATAATTTATAGGAAAAATTGAAACATGCATTTATTTTAATTAATGAAACAATTTCGAATTCAATTTCGGAAATCTTTTTTGTAGAAATTTTCAATTCTCACGAATAATTTCGTGTGGTATTTTCTTCTGAAAACACAATACCGAAAAAATCGACAAATACTCGACAATTTTGCTGGGTATCCGTTTGTCTCATGAAAAATCAATTTTTCCATTTTGAGTAAATGTCCTGAGAGTTTTTTTATCGAAGAATTAGAATTTCACAAAAGACGTATTGTAACATTTTCCTCTAAAACCATTCATTACCGAGATAATTGTATATTTATGAGATAATGTCAGTTAATTTTGCAGTCATTGTATTCATAAATTGTGCTATGAGAATATATAAACAACGAAAAATATTTTTATTCATACGAGACTGTGCCTTTTCAGGATCAAAGAATCTCTCATAAGAGAGTTTTCATTGAGAAGTAATTTGTCCTTAAATTACAAGACTGTTATCGTATAATCATCATGATTATTCCATCCAAAAAACCTTTTTCTGCGACGAGAATTCATCATCTCAGGACAGTCTTCAAATGGTCAGCACTGGATCCTATTTGTTCGGTAATTCTTAATTCACAATTATCTTGGTTATCTTGGTATCTTCATGAAAGAACGAACGAAATTTTAAATCACTGTTGAATGATTTTCATCATGCATTATAACCGCAAAATGTCACGTGGACTGACCATAGACTTCAATGTCCACAGAGAAAAGAACAGAAAGGCAAAATCCGGAAAATATACAAATGAATTGTATCGAAATTTTGTCACACACAATAATCCATAAAAATAAAAATACTTACGGAATCTTCGTCAATGATAAGACCGCTGACAGCGTTATTGCGATTTCCCTCCAGAAAGTCTATGCTCTATACCTATTCACTATGAATATGCACACCACTTTACTTTTCGCGAGGCGCCTGCGCACCACTCAACAAAAATCAAGTTGACCAAATTTTCAAGTGTTACTGCCAACATCGAGAAGTGATTCTGACACTTGAGTTAATTGAGATCCGGAAATACGGAAATAGAACGTGATGCAATGCATGTACCTTCTTCTACATTAGTCGAAAAAAAAGTAAATACAGAAATGAAAAGGCCGTACCCGATTTATGTAATGAAACTGCGATTAATTTTCTCATACTTTGCTCCAATTGGATTTTATTGAGGAATTCTGTTGGGATGGTAGTGGAGGGGGTAGTTGCGTCGTATATAGATACCCGCTAGCACTCGGCCTATTTTGTCGTCGATTGTTGTGGAGGTATTTTCGAAAAAGTTACTTGGCCGATACGCTACCGCGTATCTCGATACTCTCCCGTCAACGGATGCAATTAAGAAATGCAAGAATAATTTTTTGAAAATCTATTACCCTCAATCTTTATTTCCCAAAATGTATTACATAAGAGTAATAAGAAATACAAGTGATGAAAACAGAAAAACACTCAAAGATACCTAATAATTTATCATTATTAAATTAGTAACTAACGCAGTGCATCCCATTTGAAAAAATAGATCTATCTCATTTCGAGCAATTCTCACAACCGTAGCTCCTACAGCCGTAAAACACCGCGAGCGTCGAAGGGGAGCTCTGCTTCTAGTACAGGAGGTTCATCCGTGATTAGACGTGGACGTCCTCTCCCACGCTTCTCTCCTACTACCTTCGGGTATGGCCGTTGCCTAGCAAGTTTCGGTGGCCCTCGTTCTTTTTTTTGGGATATGCATTTACCTCCCAAATCAGATGCGGGTGTCCTCTTCCCCTTTTCACAGAGGGCGGTTTTAATGGTGGCAAAAGTTGTAATACGATGCAGCAGGGCTTCACAGTGAGATGTCTCGCATTGTGCAATCACATACTTTTTCCGAGGTCTTAAAGATCTTCTATCCCTTCTTAAATCCATAAATGCCACATGAATCAAAGGACACTTATTGTAATAATTTTTGACAGACAGGTAACTAAATCGACTACCAACTGTTGAATCTGATGGTCAACTAAAAAGATATCAGAGAAACAATGAATGTTTCAAAACCACAATTTTTTTGAATTGACGGTGTCAGCATCGCGTGCTCGTCCTCTCTCTCACTCCATGTTTTTTGATCAATGTAAACAGAAAGTGTCATGCTTATACCCTACTAGAGACAACAAATGTAATGAGATTGTTCAGACCTATGACTAAAACAGTGGATACGTTCAATCTTTTTTCCCATTTGCACGTGTCTTTATAATTAATACAGAAAAAACGTTGTAGGTGAATCATACCCGAGACATTATTATTTGTATATATTCACACAAAAAATGATTCAAATATCTTTGTATACAAATTCACAAGGACGATATGGACCTTCAAGAAAACGTATAGATAAACGATCCTCTGCAATCAGTGTCTTGTGATACATGTATTCCTCATGATCTTCCACAAGTGCAGTAGAAAGATGAGCGGGGAGAAATATGTCACATTCATTACCCAGAGTAGCCACAACTCTTCTCCCGTATTTAGTATTGGCAGTTCTGAATCCGGTAATCTGATATTTCACTCCAAGACTCAGCTCATAAATTCTCTTTGTGGAAGGCTCACGCATCATGCAATTCTGTTGATTTTACGGTCAGTCATCTTTGAAAACGCTGTCCTGAACATAATAAATAAACAAAATGAAAAAAAAAGTTAAATTCAACTGCTTTAGTCACTTAAGAGGCAATGGAACCTATCAAAATATTTAAGTACACCCCCCTCTCGTGAGATGGCGTTAGCGTAGCACGCCATCTCCGGGTAATTTTTTTGTAGCGCCAGCCACAATAGATTAATTTCTTGAATTTATTTCGTAGCGTCTCGAATATTCCAAACGTCGGAATTCGAGACAAACATCATTCTGTCCTTGTCCCTCACGAAATTTCAGGACAATTCTCGAACCTTCGATAAACGAAGGTATCTAAACTCGTAGGCTCCCCGGCGGATGAAGTCAGTCTATTTTTGAGTACGCATGTAAACACTTGCCTTTAAATATACAATTTTTGTCAACACCGAGTTATTATTTTTGATACCCGCACCAAACCGCCACAACTGGTGACCCCGACGTGATTGAAGTGAATAGTTTTCTCGCGTTTTCTTTGATTATTAATTATATCACATGAGTGGTTTGTGTGCTGCTCATGTGTTGCATCGTTCACGCGCTCCATTCGAGTTCTTTCCGTGAATTTCGGTGCATTGCTGAGCACTCAAGGACGCTGTGCTACACTGAATATTTTTCAGACTTTTCCTAGTGTTGTTTTTCACGAAACAAAATGCCCGATAGTGTCGAGGTGCGCGAAGCTGACAATGGAGCCCCGCTCCAACGCGTTTCGATACGATGTCCCGCCTTCAATGCCAAACGTCCAGCGTTATGTTTCGCCCAGCTCGAGGGACAGTTTCATCTATCTGGGATTAACGATGAAGTAACGAGGTATTACTATGCCTCGTCTCATCTCGATCCCAAGGCCGCTGCTGAGGTGCAGGATATCCTCCTAAATGTGCCTGCCGAGACACCGTACATACGTCTCAAGGAGGCGCTCATCGAACGCCTTACGCTTTCCCGGGATGCACGACTCCAGCAGCTGCTCGACCGAGAGGTATTCGGTAACAGGAAGCTCTCGCAATTCCAGCGTCATCTCAGGAATCTCGAGGACACGGTTCCAGACAACATTTTACGCACCAAGTGGCTCAGCCGACTGCCGATGACGACCCAGTCCATCCTGGCATCACAAGCGGACATGGCTCTCGACAGGCTTGCAACACTCGCCGACAAACTGCACGAGATCGCATTGCCGGTAGCCCACATCAATGACGTCCAAGAGCCAACGTCCTCGCCCTCGAGACACGCTTTTCTCGTCTCGAAGCCGAAATCTGCGAGCTGGCATCAGCCCTAAAAGGGCAAACTATCGTACGTTCTCGCTCCCGCTCTCGATCCCGTTCTCGAGCAACCTCGCCAGCACACGACAAGAACCAGTGCTGGTATCATCGAAGATACTACGACAGGGCTAGACATTACAAAGCACCTTGCTCGTGGCAGGGAAACGCTCTGGCGGATCGTTAGCGGTGGTTAACGTTCCCTCTTTCAAATCCAGCCTCCTCTTTGTAACCGATCACGCCACCAAAATTCAATACTTGGTGGATACTGGCGCCGATCTTTGTACATTTCCGAAATTTCTCGCTCCTGGAGCAAAGAAACGAGTTAACTATATGCTTATTTCAGCCAACGGCTCGACAATCAACACGTACGGCTGCATAATTCTATCGATCAACCTCGGCCTCCAGAGGGATTTCACAAACTGAAAATTGCCAANGGAATCACTCAACGTTCGAAGAGCCCCTGGTCATCTCCGCTCCACTTGGTACCGAAAAAGTCAGGCGAATGGCGACCTTGTGGAGATTATAGACAATTGAACGCACGAACAATTCCGGATCGACATCCCGTTCGCGTTCTAGAGGACTTCACTGCTAATCTCGCTGGGAAAACAATCTTCTCGACGATCGACCTCGTACGCGCCTTTAATCAAATACCTGTGGCCATCGATGACGTAAACGAAACAGCTATCATCACACCATTTGGCCTTTTCAAATTCCCGTTCATGACGTTCGGGCTTCGAAATGCCGCACAAACATTTCAACGGTTTATCGACGAGGTCACACGAGGCTTGGAGCATTTCGCCTTTCCGTATATCGATGACATCCTCATCCCTTCCAAGGACTTCGAGGAACATCGCAGACACCTCCACACGCTCTTTGAACGGCTCTCGAGATACGGTGTTGTAATTAACACGGCCAAGTGTCGTTTCGGCCAACCGGAGGTAGACTTCCTCGGCCATCGTATCTCGGCGCAGGGTATCTTACCACTCCCGTCGAAGGTAGAGGCGATCCTCAATTTTCCTCGGCCAACATCCATTCGTAAATTGCGTGAGTTCCCAGGTATGATCAATTTTTATCGCAAATTTCTTAAAGATGCTGCAAGATTTCAGGCTCCTCTCCATGAATACACTCAGGGTGCTAATGTCAAAGGCTCTCACTCCGTCGCCTGGACACCTGAGGGCGATACCGCTTTCACCACCTGCAAGGAGGAGCTACGAAAAGCAACGTTACTGGTCTATCTGGACACGACACTCCCGTGGGCCATCTTCACCGATGCTTCCGAATACGCCATCGGTGCAGTCCTGCAGCAACAACGAGGACAGCACTGGGAACCACTGGCATTTTTCTGCCAGAAACTACAACCTGCGCTGAGGAAACACTGCCCTTACGATCGAGAGCTCCACGCAATCTACGCTGCCGTGCGAAAGTTCCGCTCCATTTTCGAGGCGAGGCACGTCACGATCTTCACAGATCATAAGACCATTGCTTCACGCCTTCGCCCAGGATCCCGACAGAGCCACGCCGTGGCAGTTCCACCGCCTGGATTTTATCGGCCAGTTTTCGACCGACATCCAGTACGTGGCCGGCAAGGACAACGTGGTCGCCGATGCGCTTTCTCGTATCGAGGCAATCTCTGCTGCCGTCTCTACGAATGAGCTTGCCGAAGCTCAAGCCGCTGACGAGGAGCTCCAGCAACTTCACCAGTGTCAACATCACGACGCTCTCGCCCTACGACCTGTCAATGTTCCAGACTGCGCCACGCCTATCTATTGCGACGTGTCTGGCGATCAGATTCGCTCTTTTGTTCCTGTGCCGTTGAGAAGAAGAATTTTCGACGCCCTCCATAGCGTTAGCCATCCTCGGGCCCGAGCCTCAACGAAGCGGGTAACGCAGCGCTACGTCTGGCCTNATCAGCTGTTCTCGACAAATCGATATTATTGATTTTCTATTGGCTTTATTTTGCTTTCTTTTCTTTTTCCGCAGAAGGGGAGTACTTGTGGCGCGAGCCACAATATATTAATTTCTTGAATTTATTTCGTACNGGTATCTCGTCATGGATCATCTCCTATTCAAGATTTTCCAGGACGCACGCAGCGCTTCGAGCACATACACGTGGACAGAGGGTATCGCAACTGCCTGACAATCATAGACCGTTTCACCAGGTTTCCAGAGGCGTTCCCCATCGAGAACACTGGAGCCGAGTGTGTCGCTCGAACGTTCTTTTCTGGATGGATCTGCCGCTACGGAGTGCTGCTTCGAATTACAACCGACCAGGGGACACAGTTTGAGAGCCAGCTGTTCAACGCTCTCGCTCGTCTTCTCGGTAGCAGACATATTCACACCACCACGTTCCATCCTGAGTCAAATGGAATGGTGAAACGTCTGCATCGCCATCTGAAGGACACCATTCGCTGTCATGAAAGCGATTCGTGGGTGGACACGCTGCCTATCGTCCTTCTCGGAATCCGCGCCTGGAAAGAAGACCTCGGCGCAACTCCTGCCGACGTCGTCTTCGGTGAACCGCTCCGACTACCGGGGGAATTTCTTGCTCCCTCGCCACCACGCGGGCTACCGCCTACCAATATCGCCGATCGTCTGAGGAATTATTTCGCCGATCTCGCTCCTCAACCCGTCGCCCGTCATGGCCAGAGGAAGATTTTCGTCTTTAAGGAGCTCGCAAACTGCTCACACGTCCTCGTTCGTCGCGACGCTCCCCATCACGCCTTCACGTCCCCATACGAGGGGCCACACCAAGTAATATCGAGGTACGAGGAACACTTCGTCATTCGAATCAGAGGCGAAAATACCGTAGTCTCCATCGACCGTCTCAAACCCGTTTTCTCGCTCCCAGACGAGGAGCACAACAATGACAACGAAGCTAACGACGATTCCGACGACGGCAATACGACGCCGACTATACCACCTTCACCGGAGTCACCGCAACCGGGAACATCTCAACGTTCGTCATCTTATCGCCCATCTGACACCGGCTCATCGACGTCATCAATTCAGAAGCGCGTCAGATTCGCTAAACGACATCAGCTGTTCTCGACAAATCGATATTATTGATTTTCTATTGGCTTTATTTTGCTTTCTTTTCTTTTTCCGCAGAAGGGGAGTACTTGTGGCGCGAGCCACAATATATTAATTTCTTGAATTTATTTCGTACCGTCTCGAATATTCCAAACGTCGGAATTCGAGACAAACATCATTCTGTCCTTGTCCCTCACGAAATTTCAGGACAATTCTCGAACCTTCGATAAAGGTATATAAACTCGTACGCTTCCCGGCGGATGAAGTCAGTCTACTTTTGAGTACGCATGTAAACACTTGCCTTTAAATATACAGTTCTCGTCAACACCGAGTTATTATTTTTGATACCCGCACCAAACCGCCACATTTTTTACCTATATTTCGGTGGGTATAAAACATCGGTAATGATTATTTTCATATGAATTTTCACATAAAAAATAGCAGCGATGAATGATAAATGCATTACTGCCCTTCTTATCAACAGTAAAAAAAATTGCAATTTGTCTTATATAATAAATAATTCTATATTGGTCTATTGGACTAACTCTGCAAGTGATGATCATCAGAGATGATCGCACACAAGCCTTGTAATAACGCTGTCCGATTAAAGATTGAATAAGGCATATTTATCGAATATTAATTCTTTTATTTTACACGAATTACCTTCACACATATTCCAAATGACAATAACCCATGTATGTCGGCATTATTCATGACTTACAGGGAAAAATGAGGCAGAAATATCTATTGATAATTGCATGAAATAATGTCTTAAATATGAGAATCAATCATAGATACATTGGAAGCATCATTGACGTATCCGAGTTTGATGCCCGAATATTTCTATAAGATAACATATCCACAATACAGGAAATTTCCATGTGAGTTTTGGGAGCCCGAGCATAGTGAATGTTCATCTCTGGTGATCCAACAACGACGGTACAATGACGGTATAGCGTCGTTGTTCCATCGTTGATTTTAATTGTCGATTTTGGGGCTAGAAAAGAGACCCCTAAAAACATTATAAAAGTTGATATAAGAGGTATTTATTCATATTGGTACCGTTAATTGCATTGTTATTTATCAATTGGATGAAATAATTTTTAGTGTTAAGAGTGATGATAGAAGCTTGTAGGGGGTATGCCGCGAGATGGCGGTAGCGTCAATTTGCCACTCGGATCGGTAAAGTCGACAGTAGTAGTAGCCAGGCTGGTCTGACCAGTCGTCTGCCGAGCTAGTTAACGGGTGTGCAATGTTGCCGCATGTCTCGTTATTTTATTTTAGGTAATCAAAAGTGCATAGAAGATAGAAATTGCATCGGATATATTTTCGTATGATTAACTTCAGATAATAATAATTATTTTTACATTGTTTTAATTTATTTTATAATGTGTTTATTAGGGGGGGCATGATAACACAGAGTTGCAAATTCTAGCCAAGGGGAGGGGATTTCAAAATCTATCGGAGCCACCTCTCATCCCTCCGTTCGCATGCGTTAATTAAATAAATTAAAAAATTTCATTAATTAAGATTTCACGAGGGGGTAAAAGGGAGAGGTATGATGGCGGACGGTTGCAAATTTTATTCAACAACGAGAGGGGTTGTCAGAATCTATCTGAGTCAAAAAATGCAAATCTCGAAAATTGTGACTTTGCGAGGGGGGCGGGAAGGGGGAGTTTCAGCGGCGGAGGGTTGCAAATTTTAACCAACTAGAGGAGGGAGTTCCTGAAACTGACTGAGCCACCACCATCCCTCCGTTCGCATGCGTCATTTAAATTAATTAAAAAATTTTGCAATGAAAAATATAAATCTTTGTTAATTGAAATTTCACGAGAAGGTGGAAGAAGGAGATATGATGGAGCAGCGTTTCAAATTTTACCCAACAACAGGAGGGGGTTCCAGAATCTATCTGAACCACCCCTCATCCCTCCATTCGCATGTGTTAATTAAGTAAATTAAAAAATTCTTGGATGAAAAATCGAAATTTCTTTGATTAAGATTTCACGAGGGGGCAGAAGGGGGAAGTACGACGGCGGAGGGTTGCAAATGTTATCCAACAAGGGGAGGGGGTTCCAGAATCTATTTGAGCTACCCTCCATGCCTCCATTCGCATGTGTTAATTGAGTGAATTAAAAAATTCTCGAATAAAAAATTGAAATTTCGTTAATTAAGGTTTCACGAGGGGGTGGAAGGGGGAGATACGACTGCGGAGGGCCGGAAATTTTACCCAATAAGGGGAGGAGATTGCCGAATCTGACTGAGCCACCTCCATGCGTTCATGAAATGATCAAAAATGTTAAATAAATAATGAAAATCGCGAAAATTGATAATTTACGAGGGGGTGCAGGGGGAGGTATGATGGCGGAGGATTGCAAAATTTACTCAAAAAGGGGAGGGGGTTTCAGAAACTACGTATTAAGAATTATGAGAGAAGGGGAGAACCTCAAAATAGTTCATCGAAATAAGAAGGAAGTTGATCCAGATTATCCTGATTCTGGACCCATGGAGCCGGAGCAGAGAAAGAAGTTTTTCAATAAATGTCTCACCGACAAAAATGTGAAAGAATGGGTGTCCCACGGATTTAGAAATGTCCGACTGTTCTTGAAATCTGGAAGAAATATTATCACTATTACATGCGTACTTGTTCTTTATAACTTGATATAATAACTTTTGCAAATAAATCAGTAAATTACTTTCAAATACATATCTCTACTCCAATAAGTATCATGAGAGACCTCTGACTCCGATGTCTGAATCTCATTCTGACTCTCTGAACCTTATTCTGACCATTATTTTTTATCCTTAGGTGACACCGTTTTTATTAGATTCGATTCCGATCTTCCTCAGCCTCACTTTCAATTTTGATCCCTAAATCTCGTGAGTCTTGATTTCGTGTCTCAACTATCTCACAGCTTTAACACGAGAATGGATAATACGACCATCAATTGCAGAATCGGTCTGCGTAGGTTTAAAATGTATTGTACTTGAAGTATTCCTGGGCAATTCAAATTACGAAAAATATCGAAATTTTGGGAAAATACGATACAGATTAATTTACAATTGGTATAAAACAGTCTTATATCTCGTACTCACACATGAGTGCGAAGACGGCAGTAACGCATGGGAGAGAGCGTCTGTATACATCTCTCGCTTTATATCCCCATGGCGCAGTCCTACTAAGCAATTGTCGCTTCCGAATGGAAGCATTGTATTTGTCCAATTAGAAATTTTCTTTTTTTGTGTCAGGATGATTAATTTTTGCATCTGCTGTTTGGCTATGATGTTTTTAGATCATATCTATATATCCGTCCCTTCAAAATTTGACGAATCGAAAAATTGACCGAGATAACTTGGATTTCATATCACGTTGGATGGCAATTGGGAATGTTTTTCTTCATTTCCATCAAATGATTTCGTTATGCTTTCAGAGATGAAAACTCGATAACTATGAGAGATAGGAATAAAATAAAAAACAAAATGTACTTATTTTTAGACAAGGAACATTTTTTCTTGGAAACTTTTTCACCTAACTCCAATCGTTTCCACGAAATCACGTTATGAAAAATTAAATTGTTATAAATAAACAAAACTGACCACACCGCGAAAAATAAGTTTACACATTCGTGTTCAGAGACCCCAAAAACAAAGTCCAATGATAAAATTCAATGGACCTAAAAATGTATACCAGACCTGTCACAGTATATGGACTAGAACTCCATATTACCCCTATCTGATCTCCATATGACCTTAATATAAGCGCCGTATGTCCTCCAAATCGCCATCATGTGATACCCATATCATCTCCGTACGAACTCCCTAAGGTCTCCATATCAGCCTCATTGTGACCCTTTCTGAACCTTACTCTGACCATTTCTGACACTTACTCCGATCTATCCAGATCCTTGTTTTGACTCTTCTTCACCATTTCTGACCGTTATTCGGAATTCATTTTGACCCTTCTAGTGAGGGTTACAAGACCATATGTCGTGAGGGGTAAAACCAAGGTTCACAAGTGTCGAAACTAAAGATGATGGTCCCGAGGGGCGCAAATAAGGAACTTACTGGTCACGGCTATGGTTTATGAGAGTTGAATTTCCGGGTTATGAGGGTGAAAAGTGTAGGTCAGAAATAAAGTCCAGAAATGCAGGTCAGAAGTGAGTATCATATTCAAACCTATTCGGAAGCCTATTGCTAATTTATCAGCAAAACAGGGGCAACAGTTGATGAAATAGAAAGAAAATATTGACTGATTTTTTTTTCATACCCTCTCACCATACATTCATGTATTTCTGAGTAAATTGAGAAAAAGAAACAATAATAAGATAACGTTCGAGGTTTAAACTCACGTCGCACGAATGGGAGCATTCTAGAAAGGGCTTCGTCCCATGTGATATATGGACATTTAAGGATGTACTACACCCTTTCGGCCAAAATTCACGTTTTTTTCATTTTTCTGACAAATTATTGATCGGATTGATGCGAAATAATATACCGTTTTTGCGTTTTATTGTTATTGACTGACTCACGAAGTTTCACGGTAGTGCAATCGTTTTCCTGCATTTTTTCTAAAGTTTTCTGAATTCCCCAAAAGCTTTAGAAAAAACGCAGAAAAATGATTGCATGATTATGAAATTTCGTGAGTCATTAAGTAATGATAAAACGCAAAAACGGTATATTTTTTCACGTCAATCCGATCAACAATTTGGCAGAAAAATTCAAAAAACGTGAAAGGGTGTAATACATCCTTAACGCACATGAGCAGATCTATCCATATGTCCTTTGAATCAGTTAATTATGTAGCGTAAATGGAAAAATGGTCTGTAAAAATACTGTAAAAACTCCGGTCTTATGAACGGTCTGAAACTAAGACTTAAGAGAGGAAATCCGATAAACGGTCTTGAAATCAGACCAATTTCCGATCTTAACACACGATCTTACGGAATTTAAGCCGTCAGTAGGCGCGCTAAGAGGGATTCCCTCACAAAAATTTTCACTTCATAAGAAATATACACTAAATGTAAAAATATTTGGGTAAA